ATAGTCGGCCCCCTTAAGCGATTTCATAAGATTACCGAAAAATAACTCAAATATTACTTCTTGCCTGCGGTGCTGTCCTATTCCTAAACTCACATCTTAAACAAACGCAGACCACCTATTACTAAAAGACAAATAATGCCAGTACATTATAATTAAGTTATTTAAACTCTATTCTGAATTTCATTAAGCTTGAGATAAAAGATACCACAGAGTCCGACATATCTGTTTCATATTTGGATATTTTACTTGAAAAAGACGCTAATGGTTAAAAAACAACCAAGCTTTATGACAAACGTGATGCCTTTATTTTTTCTATCGTCAACTTCCCTTACTGATGCAGCAATATACCTTCATCACTTGTATACTGAGTTTATATGAGTTTATATCTCTCAGTTGATTCGATACGCAAGAGAATGCTATACGTACGAACAATTGATATAACTTGGTGACCTATTGACAAACAGGTTGATGAAACGAGAATATCAGCAGTTTCGTTTAAAGTCATCTTTTCGCAAGTTCTATGGCCGATACATTGACACTGTCAGCAAATACAATATATCATTGAGTCAAAAGCTGACTGACGTTTTTCATACTGATTGTTAGTCCATTTTTAATACACTGAATTTTCCTGAGTGTGACCGGTCGGCTGGGGATGCTCACTCCTCCATGGCACCTGATCCCACCTCTGATGTTTTAAGATCCGTATTTGCCCTACTCCTGTTTTGTACTGTTTTTTGTTTCATCAGATAAACATGTACTAGATTTTTTATGATTTGTTTATTAATTAAAGCAATCACATAATACTTTTCTAAAATATATAATTATGTAATATTGTAATACAGGTAATATTGTGCTAAACAAAAGTGAAGCTCAAACTCCTTAAACAATTCTCAGTTATTTAAGCGTTTTCTTAAATCGTCTGAAAGGTAACTCAAACATTACTTTGTGTTTGTGGTATTTCCGTATGGCTGTGCTCATATTTTACAAAATATGTTCCAATATAAATAAACATAAGCGCACCAGCAATCGCTAATAGAATGATAATGCCAGTAGTTATTGAATTTTATTGTTCGCTGTTCAGCTGATTTTTGCTTTTCGCATCTTCATTGTTGCAGTGTTTGGGCGAATGTTTATTGAGTGAAAATGCTGAAATTAATAACGCTATAGTAAAATATGGTCAGTTCTGCAGATTTAATTTTAGAATCATTACATTCTAACTTATATTCAAATTTCCTCTCCATATGAGTAAAATATTCTTCAGAGGGACGTTAAACAATAATTTATCTATCAAGACAGTCTAAATTCGTGAAATGAAATGATCCTTTTTAAGTTATTTATCAAGTCAAAGTGTTGTGTACATACATACAGTACAAACATTCCGAGATTTAAGATTTTGAAACAAAGTCTCGGTTCCCAACCATATGGGTTAAAAGATGTCATATAACCCAATAATATTAAGCATCAATTGGATTACATGTTTGAAATCTTTGACAAACAATACATGTATCATTAGTAATGTATTTACAAAGAATTAGGTTTCATTAATTTTTTTTTTTTCATTTTATGAGAAAATTAATTAAACAATTCAAAATACGAACTGGAAAATATTTTTTTTAATTAAAATGTATATCATACCAAAGAAAAGCATGACAATTTACACTAACAGATTACACACAATACAAATGGAAAATTGTTGATTACAACTAGATACGTTCGAATATTGCCATATGCATGTACAAGAAAGAATCACTTTTATATCATGATCAAAAACTTTTTATCTGTGTCCAAGCATATTTCAATACTCATTATTATATAAGATCTCATCCAGTAGCATGTTATGTACTAAACTAAGCATAAGACCATATTGTGCAATCTTCTATATTTTTCGAAAAGTAACCATACTAAATATTCCAAAGTTGAAATTTATACTTCATGCGATCACACGCATAGGCACAGAAAATAAATAAATAAAGGAAACATAGACGTAGAGAAGACTTAAAATTTAACATTGATAATTTTTACATTTCCAAATATTTCTCTTAGATGAACTTTATTTGGGGAGCAGCGGTAATAGAGTGACTTAATCACAGTGCGAGATGATATTTTGTTTACATATATTTCTGTCACGGTGCAACTTGTTTTGGAATATTTCTAACTTAATAATGATAAAAAGGATACAGTGAATAAAATATATTGATATTTTTCAATCAAGAGATGCACAATAAATCTTCTTTCGATGTTAGTAATTGAATATTATAATTAGCCTAAAACCATACTTACCTCTTTAACCCAAAATTCCTTTAAAGTTATGTAATTTAAAACTAAAACAGGCGATACCACCGTTTTTGACTTCAAATATACTAGCATTATGGACGTTCAATCCTCTGCTTTTGATTCAATTTTGGTCTAAACCTTTATTTCTAAAATTCTGCATCGTTTTTAAGTTTTAGTGTTGAATTAAGCATCTGTAATGCAAATTAAACTATATACATTGCAAAAACCGCAATTAAATTCCACTCAAGTAGGGTTAAGCCAGGGACTATATTTTGTGGCAGAAGGTTTTTTAGAACAAAATTATCAATTTATGCCTTTTGAACTTGATACAGTACTATTAATTTTAGATTCCAATTTTCCCTGCTGGTTGTACACAAAGCTGTTTTTTGCAGTGAAATGTATTATGAGTGTTCTGAAATACCTAATAATTTTTTTCTTATGAATTCTTTCGACGAATTATGGCAAATATAGTTAATATATTCTGAAAGTCCAGGGAAAAATTGAGCCAATTTTATCATAAAATTGACAAAGTTTTCGTAATATCTAAAAGTTTACATTATATATCCCCACTTTTGATGTTCTTTTCTGAATATTTAAGATAACTTTGATCTATCTTCTGAAATTCAGAAAAAGTTTAAGACTTCAAATTAATTCTCTTGCTTATTAAAATTTATAATGCAAGAAAAATCCCATTTTGTGAGTGCAGAAAGGTCAAATAATTTATTATGCGTAGGAATTTGAAACATTTTCTTCGTCACAAATTAAAAGTGTCTTTTTAAAAATAGACTTGTTGTTAATATTATTTTGTTCCATGTTTTATTTGGATGAAAATATTAGAGGGAAAACGCTGAAGATGTAATTTTTCATTGAGACATAGATTTCAGTGCAAAAAGGTCATATCTAATGTACTGTAGCTCCAAAAGAAGCATATTGACCCCCATATTTTGATTTGATTTTTAATTAAGCTATGTGTGTAGAAACTAAAATTATACTTGACAAAAAAGTTTAAGAATTTAAATATCAGGATCGAACGTCTTTAATTAAGAACTCAAGAAAAAGTTATTCTCGGTAGCAATCCTTGTTCTTTCACTGATATGTCCTGAACTAAACTGCTAAACATCATTGTAAACATTCAAAATTGGAACGAAGTGAATTTTCAAGACCAAACATCTTCTAGGTCATTGCGCGTCACAGAATAGAATACAGCGGCTCGTTCCTGTTATAAATGCAGTTTAACTCGGACTTTATTCGTCTCAAATGTAAAAATAAGTAATAAAGAGCAATGTTAGAAAGTTCACTGGGAAATAAACGTAGTTGGTACGTGATCAACTCTACTGACAAGCCCTTCAGGATTCACAGGATTTGATCACTTGACCAACTAAGTCATTTTCAAGAGAACTTTTAACATTGTTGTTTATTTCTTAAATAACACTCATCTTTATCAATATTATCAAAGGTTAGGATAGCTCTGAAGAGTTGTGTATACCAAACCAAATCATGATACTAGTGATTCAAGTGCATTATGTGCTAAATATTTTATGAAGATGTTATTACTTTAAAAACATCTTTACCTTTCCTTGTTCTTGAAGGATGCTCTGTTGATGTCTCATTTTCTGTTTTAACAATTGTTGGTGTATTGTTGGTGGACATGGTGTATTCAGCTAAAAAGAAATGTTTTTTTTCAAATGTTCGATATTCAAGTTAACACTTGATATGAACAAAATTTGATATAAAAATGTCATCCTTAAAGAAACCGAGGATATTACAGCATTTTAATTCATTCTGATGATTGATTATTTGAGCGATACTCTACCTTTCTCACAATTTATCGTTGCTGTTAAAGCATTAAAATAATATCACCTTAGAGAAAATACCTTTATTACGTATTTCACAACCATAAGCATGATGACAATTGTTTTTGCTACAGTTGCAGAGTAACTGACAATCTCTTCCAAACGATGGTGGTTCACATGTTTTTGTGCAATCTGGACCGTGAAATCCGACTTCACATACTATTTGAGAAAAGTATGTCAGATATTGTTTTATGTGTGACATACAAATGTCAGAGATCATAAATGATAAATAATTTATGAGGGAATACTTTCATGATAATATTGCAAAAAAATAATTTTAAATAGTAATTTCCATCTCTTATAAAATGTATTAATTTAGCAAAAAGACGAAAAAAAGCTTTAAAAGTATTCAATCCATATTTAATCCGGATATGTCTTGTTCACTAGCTCAATTACGCTATTGTGCGATATTGAAAAAGAAATGCAACAATAAAGCAATGAATTGGCGGAACAATAATGCACTGACGAATGTGCTTTGTAAATTTGATAAGAGCAATAAGCTTTGGTTAATTGTAATCGTACGATCGCGACATCCCATCATCATCTTGCTATCGCACCGTCGCTTCATTGTCATCGCGCTTTTCAGCCAAACTTAGATCATGGCGCGTCGATGAACTATCGGTTAAATCTGGATAAAACATTAAATGAGAAAACACACGTAATCTGTTGACATGCCGATTCTTAAGAAAATATTTTTTTTGTAAAATACTCCATTTTTTAAAAACGAAAAGGAGAAAATCAAAGTTGATGACCAAACAATAAATAAAACACAGTATTAACTTACATATGCAGGATTGCGTTGTTTGATTCCATTTATATCCCATACAGCATGTTAACCCATGTGGACTAGAATGCATTTAAATATTTGATTGAGTTTATATTTCTATTTCTTAATTCTTTTTTTAATTATTTTTTTGCAGTTTTTGATTATTGCAGTACCAACGTACTTAAAGACTACTGTTAACGTTACATCAGATTCAATGTCATCTTTAAACGTTTTCTCTTTCTCTTTTACACATATCACTGATTAAATATCACATACTAATTTTCCTAAGATCAAATAAAGACATCCTTATAAATAATTTGTCAAACTTAAAAAAAAACCTTCTAATGGGATTGAAATTATTAGCAGAGTATTTCAAAAGTTAACACTTTCCCTTTTTTGTTTTGCTGGATCTTTGGAATGGCTATATATGTATAGATATTGTAGTGTACTGTGTGTCTATCGAATATAACTGAATATATATAAAACGTTATTGTTTGCATCCTTTTAAGCGGATCATTTGTTGCTTGGATTCTTCCTTGATTATCCTCAAAGCAAAAATACCTGATTAAGAAACATCTTCAATTTTTATACTATATTTATTATTTTAAAACAAATAAGCGCTTAATAACTTACCCATTGCATTGATTGGATTCCGATGAATCAGATTGATTCAGATAAATGTATATAATAAGCACTAGGAATGTATCTAAATTCATTTTCGATCGACTGCAGAATTTTTTTTGACATACATCGAAATATATGTTTATCCCTCATAGAAGGAAATAAAACGATATATTAATCCTTATGAGGAGAAAAAATCATAAACAACACTTCCGTGACTTTGAACTTTAATCAAATTTAAGCTTAAGTTTCCTAATGGTAAGTTCAATCACTGAATACGCATGTACGAGTACTTAATGTCATTAATATAATGAGAAATAAAAAAAATAACAAAGAATGGGAAAACGTATAGATGTGGTGAAATAAACCCAATGTAATGTAATTGGCAACACTTATAAAGTCTTTGGAAACCTATAAATTCATGAAGGACATGAATTGTTTCCTTTATTGGCCGATCTGTTTTTACATTCACATGAAGCAGAATTTACTTAAAATCTTAACATGCGAAGACGACGATGTGGCCTTCAGCTAAAAAAAATTACTTTTCAACGGCATTTTACATGTAGCAATTAACAAAATTTTGTTTCTTTGTGCACATGTGAGTATTCCAGTAAATTTAGAATTAAAGAAACCACTGAATCTACCACATTTTTTCCATACACATGCATTTGTAGGTATTACTGACTATATAAGGGCTCAATAGCAGCTAATTTTAGCTGATTTTAAAGGATATTAATTCTGCTTTACCATCACCAGCCTTTGTATGCAGTTGTAATTCTCTATAATCCACGAGGGCTGTTCGGAAATTATTGACAAAGACATTTTCTTTTACTCCATGAAAAAAAAATCATGAAAATTCGTCAACATTTAATGAAAAACAAATACAACAAAAATGCAAAATTTCTATTTGGTAGGGTAATTAGATAAGTTCTAGTGAAATATTAAACATGAATACGTCTATCGACCTGGATCAGCATCGCTACGTCACTTTACGTCGCACACGCTGGAGATATTTTTGCATGTTAATCGATCGGGAATCGTTTACTCTTTTCTGTGTAAACTGTCTAATTGTTTGGTTTCCTGATATGATCAATAGAGTGCCTAGCTTGATAATTTACATCAACGCCGAATTTATGCATAAAATTAGCCGATCGATTGGTCATCGTAATGAAACCAAAAACTCCGGCAAAATCATTGGAAATGTTTAAAAAAAAACATGATAAAAAGCTCTTTTTATTACTTCTGCCTACTTACCCAGAACATTCCCTCTGCAGTGACGATATGGTTATACAATGAGAGAACATGATCAATATTATGAATGTGGTGGAAAGGTAAGATGCCATCTTGGATCTTTCTTCACAAAACAACATATTCTTGTTCGACTTTATATTAACTTATGTTTTTATACCAGTTTCCAACCTCCTACAGGATAAAATATGATTCAATGTTTTATTTCCCTGTAGGAAAGAATTAATCTATTAAAACAAGTGGTACATATTTCCCCATAATGATTTTAACGGATGGATTTTTGTTACCGCTTAAAATCTGTTAGCATCAATGAAAGTCCTTTTTCATACATACTTAAATTTTAACTTCAGTGATACATTTTAGAATTCTATTCATTTAAGCTCCATTCCTTTCTTTGAAAACTGACTTGCTTAGTGTAACTGATGTATTTTTATTAAATTTACTATTACTATTTACCAAAGAATAGCGTCCAAAGAGTAAACAAGGATTCCCTAATGAGACGAAGAACGTTTTCCTTCTATACTAGCTTTAATTTAATTCTTTTTTTTTAAATATGCCAAAATTTGAGTTTTTTTTCCAAAGTTTATCTTTTTAAAGTTTTTTTTTAATTATGAGAGGCTTATATTTTCAACCCAAAGGTTACAGATCATGCAAGGGATATACATGTACAATATAGTAAAGCATTTGTGCAAACTGTTTAAAATGAAAGTTTCCTCTCTTTTTTTGTTTAATTTACTATAGCATTTTGAGTGGATAGTATATGTGCATTTATTAAAGGTCGAGAATAACATGTCATCAAATTGTTGAGTAAAGTATGAATTTAGGTGTTTTAGACAGCTGCATATCACACTATAACATGTATCCACATGATGATTTCCTTAATTATAAGTTACATATTTCAACAAATGACTACACTGCAGGGGGTTGATTACGTATTAATTTCACAGTTATCATGATATTTATAATTGTTTACTCTGTGTTTTCCCCTTAACTAACTTCAACCACTCTTAATTTTTTTTAAATTCTTCAATCAGAGAGAAAATGTTTTTTGACATTAAAGTCATCATTAAAGTCATCATTAAAGTCAACATAATTAAAGTCATCATTTCGTAAATTCTATGGTCGATACAATGACCTTGTCAGCAAATACAATTTATCATTGAATGAAATGCTGACTGACGTTTTTCATACCAATTGTTAGTCCATTATTTATACACTGAATTGACCACGGATTTTTTCCGTTTTTTCCTGATTATGACAACGAGCACACGGCGGGTGTGACCGGTCGGCAGGGGATGCTCACTCCTCCATGGCACCTGATCCCACCTCTGATGTTTCGGAGGTCCGTGTTTGCTCTGCTCTTATTTTGTATATTTGTTTAATGGACGTTGAGATTGAATACTGTTCGTTATTTCCATATCCTTCATTAATCTGTCTTGCATATTAACTAAACTTATACATGTATGTTCATGTTGACATTATTTTTTTTCGTTTTTTTAATGTAACGTATAACTAACCTATTAATGTAGACATAATATCAAGTAGTACAAAAACATTTAACTACTCAATGTGGTTTTTAGGCGAACTGAAATTTAAAGATAAACATGACCTGTCATATTTGCTTCAGTTGTTGATGCTAGGCTTATTAAGGATTAAAAACTAAGAACTAAGCTAAATGACAAATCCCTCAATTTATGTATTTGTATTCCATTATCATGTACATTTAATATTTAAATCTCACAACTGATCCGATACTCAAGAGCATGTTTTCAGTTCGATCAGAATTTTTAAATTAATGGTTGCTACTAAAAAATAAGTTGATGTTACAGAAGGACTTTCAATTATATAGATTAAAGTACAAATAAAAATGGTCCTTATAATTTCTTTTCTTGACAAAACAACATTTCCTTGAGTTTCTATTTCTTAAACTAACAGTTGTATCATTGTTCATACCAATTTTAATCAGAAATTACTTTGTGTACATGGTTAATACACAAGTTTCAGAGCACACATGCAAGGAGACGTATAATTCTTTCTACTTCAGGCATATGATCCAACCTTTTAGAGATTTTACTTTGTCCACTTTTTGTATTGTAAGCTTGATCAGAGTTCAGAGTTCATTATCCTCTTTTGGATCATTTATATCTCAGCATTTGTATTGGACATCTTCTAATATCAAAATAGCAAAAGCATAATTATCACATGAAACTTGTTTGTCAATAAATACTTCCTTATTAAAATTGTACGTGTTTAGAGAATGTTCTTGTGTATCGAATCAACTGATATATACAAAACGCAGTATACAGATGATGCAGATATAATGTTACATGAGTAATGGAAGTTGAAAAAGTTATTTAGATCAATTTTTCCTCTTTCGCAATATTCAGTATTTATAAATATTTGGATTCCTATTTTTTCATGCAGCGTATTCTGTAAAATGTTCTATTCTTCTCCAAAATTATATATTTAATTAACTTTCATGAATTCTATCAACA